TTTTCTTTAACTCACCACTCAGTGGAGGCTGTTTCTCCTTTTTGACTGTAAAGGCAATCTAGGCAGAGTAGTCTTTCAATGCAAAAGCAAAACCTGTGAATGGCAGTCCTATCTGCTCTCATCAAACCCAAGGATACTCTACCAGGCACACAGTCACAGTGAGATGTGCAGGCACCTTCTGAAAGCATCAGGATACATTTTCCATATGCAATGTCCTCAGTGCTTGGAAATGATTGGATGCCTCCTTGAAAGATACACAGTATCCCATTTTTTTTGGAGATGAGTGCTTACCTCAACTAAAATAATTTTTCCCCATATTTTCTGTTGCTACTCGTTTGTATTTAAGCAGCTTCCACAGCAGACATCTTATCAAATGCCCCTCTGTTACAGAGGACCCTGTAAGTTGGAGCAAGGGATCAGGGTGGAAAAATGGAGTCCTGGAAGTGACACTCTCATCTCTGGTCAGTTCTATGTGCCTGTGGTTGCCTGTAAAGATCACCCCAGGAGTGGTGCAGGTAGAAAACTGTTGTCCTTGAGTGAGACTTATGTGAGGCTGAGCTGGATTCTCTCTGATGTGGGATCTGCAAAATCTGGATGTCTTTGAGAACGGAGTGGAAAAGGAGGTTACAAGAATCAAATGGTTATTCTTTTGATGTAGCCCAGAATATAATTGGCTTTCTGGGCTGTGAGCACACATTGTTGACTCATGTCCAGCTTTTCATCCAGCAGTACCCCAAGTCCTTCCACGCAGGGCTGCTCTCAGACCCATCATCCCCCAGCCTGTACTGATACTGAGAGTTGCCTGCCTTCCAAGTGCAGGACCTTGAACTTGGCCTTGTTGAACCTCATGGAGTTCATTTGGGCCCACTTCCCAAGCTTGTCCAGGTCTTTCTGGATGGCATCTCTTCTCTCAGACATGCTAACCACACCACTCAGCTTAGTGTCATCTGCAAACTTACATACATAGAGCTTCCAGCTACAACAGTAATTATGGCACTTTGAAATTATGATAATGTATCATGTATAAAAGATTAAAAATTATTCATATGTATATCTATAAACCAGTTTCCTGATCCCTCTCACTAAAGAATAAAAATGTTGAAGGTAGTGAATACAGCACCACAGAATGGGAATTATTACGTGTCCCTGTTCAAGGTTTATAATTTTAGGAGAAAGAGGTCATCTCTAACAAAACTGATTTCTTCCTGGGGAAAGTTACAGTTTGGTTGATATGGTAACTACCTAGCTATAGCACATTTGTTCTTGGGCATTGTTATTCCATACTGAATGCCATTTGCATTAAAAAGTCACACTCTACAGTGGATTAAGAGCTGAGTGATCTCCTGTAGCAGGTGTCAGTGGAAAGTCATCATTTCCAGTGCAACTGCAAAAGGAAAATACAGCAGGTCTGGTGCTAGGAAAAATTTCCATGAACCACATGGATATAAATGAGAAATGGTGGCTGAGGAAATTTGTGCATAAAGCAAAGGACTATCAGAATAATATATGAAGTTGAGAACTAGGAAGTTTTAAACAATATTTAAATAAGGGAGTTTTAAACAATATGTATTTAAAATCCACTGCAGGCTCACATAGTTTTGAATAAAATGGCCAGGGAGGATGCAAGAAGGACCAGTGTCTGAAAGCTCAGGTCAGTCAGTTGTATCTTCTCTTTTTTAAGCCTGTGAATGTTGACAGATCAGTAGAGATGTAGCTGCTGTGCAGAATTTATTGCTTTTTCTGCCACTTGCAGTGGATGCTCATTTCTGCAAATCCTCCAATCACTGTGAACATTTGCTTAAAGTTTGATTTAGCAGCAGCAGAAGGAACAGGCATAAACACTGATGTGAAGGTGTTTGCCTGTGGCAGGGATGTCATGGAAAGGCTCCCCAGGAGAGGAACAGCTTTGCTCTTGCCTTTCCTATCAATGCACCTATGGGTGTGGCAGGGAACCCTGATGACTGGTTGGGGCTGGTTGATGTGCTGTCAGTCTGGCACACCGCTCCTTTGGACACAAGTAGCCGTGTCTGCTGGCTTGGATGGCAAAGCACTAACCTCTCTTGTGCCTCTGTGAGTTATTCTGTAGCTGGAAAATGAGCAATGCAACCATTGTCTTTCCCTGTGTGGACTATTTATGCTCATGTCTCAGATGCAGAGAGGCAGGGAGAAACCACAAGGAGCACAGGACATTTGTGAAAAGAAGGCCAAAGTGAAGCCACGATTCTTTAGAGGTAATAAGGGGTTTAGGGGACAGAGCTGGAAGAAGATAATAATATTATTAACACTGACAATCCTGGTTTTGTTTATGTTTGGCTTTTTTTTTTTTGAGCAAGACAGTTCAACACCAAGGCCAAGCACTTGAATTTGGTTCCAAGTCTGGAACCAGTCTGTATAGTCCTGGTTCTAACACAGAAGCTAAAACCAGGAGGATTTTTCTAGCTTGTAATTCTCTGTTCTTTCTAACTGGACCTGGTGGAGGGGGTGTGATGTCATGAAAGACTGGAGTGATAATTTATACATCTATAGTTCAGACATCAACTCCTTGTTGCATGAGGAGGTACACTGCTGTGTCTGAGATGTTTTATTCTTCCCTGTGTATCTGTCAGGACTCCTGGGCAGCAGAGGTGAATGGCATTTTTGTGATTTTATTCCTGCTTCCATTTGTTTACTCTTTATTTGGGGAAATTTTGCTTGTTTTGATTTCTTATGTTCCTTATTTTACTGCACAGCCATATGTCTTCCAGTTCTGAGGCTGGGGCTCAGAAGTGCAGTTTACTGCACTCACTTGGTGCCTGGAACCAAAAGAACATCTGTTGTTAGCAAAGCCAAAATTTAAAGGATTTTATAAGGAGCAGTATAACATCTGCACAAAGCTTCTGATGCTTCCAAGCAAACTTTTTGTCAGTACAGCTTAGTTCTGAATGGGAATAGAGGTGGCCTCACTTTGGTTCTTGCAAATCTTAATGGTTTTGAAATTTTTCAACTTGTAAAGCTCACCTAGCAGAGGAGAGCTTCCCTATGGTGCTGGGAAGTTGTGCAGACCTCTGATGGAGGGGAAACTGCCCCAGGGTTTCACCTGTCTAGTGTTAAGACATGAGCAGGGTTGAGTGAAGTATCTTGGCTTTCAAACCAACAGGCACCAGGGAGCAAAGAGACCTCCGCCTAAAATTTACACAAAGTCACCCTGTGCATCAGTCAGTCACTCAGTACTGGTTCCTGGCATGGTGAAAAGAAGGAATGACTCCTCTGAATTTTATCTATTGAAGCAGCATCCCTAAAGGTGGTCCAAAGAAAATCTGAAAAGTCCTGGAAACACACACTTGCATGACTAATCAGTCTCTGGCCTCCCCCACTGCTGCAGCAAAAGGATGACTGAATGTCTTTGACTGCTTTTGATTGCTCAGTTGGCTGCTGGGGCTTCTGGCAATGGCTTTTACAGTCCCCTCTCTTTCCACTGAGCTGAGAGTGCCTCATCTGCAGCCGATAATCTGGACCTTACATTCATTAGCACAATAAAGCAGGAAAACCATCTGATTTCATTGCTAGGCTTAACCAAACATTGTGGAATATTGGATTTTTTATTGAGAGTCAGGAAGCAGGAGGAGAGATACAGGGCTTGCTGGCAGTGTTCTCAGAAAAGTCATTTTTATCTCATGATTTTGGATGCAGCTTCACAGTTACAGGTAGAGCTGCTGTAGAAGGTCTTCAGAGAGCCCTGTGAGATTGTGCCCCACTGGGGAGGGCATTGCCTGGGCTTGAGTCACCTTCTGCTGGTGGCTCCCCATCCCTTAGGGAGCAGTTGGCCCTGGCTGCTCCTTTACAAGCACAACAGTTAATGATGCTGAAGGAATTATTTACTAAACACCAGGTGGAGTTGATGCTAAACACCAGATGCATCAAGATGACTCCTGAAACTGCAGAGGATATTTGTATTATCATATCTGCAACTGGGAGAATGAAGTAAAGGGACTTGGCTGTCCTCACCTAGTTGTTCTTTCAGTCAGAGAAAGGACATAAACGTGGGCTCGTGCAAGCAGTGAAAAGTCAAGGCATCATTTTTATGTTTTTATGAAGCTGATTTCCTTGAGCTACCTGTCCCTGTTGTTTACAAGTGTGCAATTACCTATTGATCTGGGGAAACAAAACATAAATAAATGTGGCTTCAAAGATATGTCAGGAAAGAGGTGGACAGGCAGACAGCTCTCTGCAGAGAACTCTGCTTGGGCTTGTGTTGACACTAATTGGGAGCATGAGAAATGGTTGACAACGGCTGGGTGTTTTCATAACTTCTTCTGAGAATGGTGTGTAGGGGGTGGATATTCTTAAAAGTCTGAGTCATATTTAACTCGGCTTTCTGCTTGAGCAACCTCAAGGAGCAGAGATAATTAGTCATGGTTCTGGAGGAGTGTTAACAGGAAAGTCACAGGTAATACAGTAAGATATAGGAGAGTGAGCTTCACTTCTGGTCTCCAGCATTGGTCTGTGATGGGACCTTCATTGTTCTATGCTCTGGATTCCCTTTCCTGGCTTAGCACTTTAGGTCTGAGTTTTTTCTGAGTATAAATTGTCCTTTTTGAAAAGTTTGGGCAGCACCCAGTGTCAGCTGGGCCTTCAGAACTTCCCTTCCAACCAATTGGAGTGTAGAATCATAGCCTATATTTTCTGAATTTTTTGTGATTCACACATTTACAGATTGATGGAAGATAAAAGCCCAGTGATGTCCTAGCTGAGAGAAGGACTCGGGTCATCTATTTTGGTTAGCTTCTTAACTGGCCAGTCAGAAAAAGTGCCTCAAAAGCAGACATAGTTTTGGATGTCTTGCTCAGCAGGTGGTTTGGGGACAGGATGGAGGAAGGGTATTTAGGATGTACTTGAACTGGGAACAGAATTATTGCTGTGAGACCATGGTGGACAAAACCCAGGAGGTCAGCCTTTGATAGTTCTATAGCTTTCAAAACAAGGTGTTGACTTGTGGTGATTTTATACTGTTTCTTTTTCAGATGTCCTGTGTCCAAACGTCCATGTGGAAGGAGATCGGTTCAAACACACCAGTGGGGGGACTGATGAGATTCCAGGTAAAGAGAGACACTTTTCTGCTGTGCATCTGGGAACTGAACTAGTATGAGTGTGCATTTCTCGTGTGATGTTCTGATTCATTACACTTTCCCCAGTTGGCATTTTCTTAACCCAATGTATATTCAGTGGTGGAGAAGTATACCAGAAACTGTGGGGCTGGAAAAGAGCTAGTTATCTGTTGACAGTGGCCAGGAAATGAATCATGAGCTTTCTTTTGATATGACAGCAAATTGAAAAGCCAATGGAGCTTAGTGTGGAAGATAGAGGAATGCAATAAGTCTTGGAGATTACTTTTTTTTCCTACTCCACATTTGGTGAGTTCTAATATCCATTTATTTGATCTGTGATTGTTGTTGGACGTCCAAGTATAATGGTAATTGCCACTGAAGAAATGCTTATTCATGTGTATAAAGAAAAAAGAAAGATAAAAAAGTCCCCAGAAGAACCATTTTTTTTCTGAAATGCTGGTGAAAGATCAAGAGGAAAGCCAGTCCAGTGTTATCTCAGCTTTTCTGTGAGTTCTGGTATATCTTTCCAGACATCTGAAGGACTTATCTGTCAGATATATGCGTGGGCCACATCTCTTTTCTAGCCCCCCAAGACTGTTTGAGCTGTTGGCAGAGAAAACCTGCCCATCAAGGATGCACTGGGAATATCTGTGACTGACCCAAGAACATGTCACTGCAGTGGGAGGCTGGAAGCTCTCCTGCAACTTGATGATGAGTAGAAATAGTCAAGGTTTGACAGCTCTGCTACTCTCTCAGAGTTTTTTCGTTGAGGGATTTTCACTGCCTGCACAAAATACCAGTTGAAGGTCTGCTGTCTGTAGACAGCTTATTTGGCTGCAGTCTGATTACATCTAGGCCTGTGATAATGTTGGGTGATAACATCCTTTCTGGTCATTAAAACCAAACTCATAGTCCTCAAACACCCGTTTTTAACTGCTGTCTAGTACTGGATCTCGCATTAACCTATTCTGACAGTCCTCCTGTCACTGGGCTGTGCAAATAGCCCTGTGGATTTTCAACTTCCATTTGCAGTGGAAGCTGCTGCTTAAAGGGAGTAGGAGGATTGTGTCTCTCCTAGGTGATTGTCTTCTGTGTGATCCTTTCCAGAAGATTGGAGTTGAATATAGCTTCCTGTCTCTAGTTCATGTTTATCTGTATTTTAATTCAAGTGCTAATTAGACTCTGTGCTTTTGTCTGACTTCAGAAATACATCATTTGTTGAGCAGTGTAAAGGACAAAGATCCCATTTCAGGTCTGGCACAAAAGTTTTCAGGAAAGAGAAGTGTAGATGTATATATGCATGTATACTTACATATGGTGTGTACTTATGCTCTTTTGTAAAGTTTTTGGCTTATTTTTCCTTTTATCTTCAAATCTCACTTCCCTCCTAGAAAAGAAGTCAATATTCAGCATTTTAACTTAAAAGATGACTTTGCTTTTTTAGATCTGTAGACTAGTTTGGGTCCTAAGGAAATCATCTGGTCCAACCTCCTACTCAGAGCACGACCTACTTCGAAGTTAGGTCCAGTTTGAAGTTAGAACAGGTTGTTCAAGCCCTCATACAGCTGAGTTTTGAGTATCTCCTAAGGTGGACATTCCACAGGTCCTCTAGGCAACTGTTCCAGTTTGGTCACTATCACACTGATTTTTTTTTTTTCCCCCTAATATCTAAACAGAATTTAATTTATTGCAACATATCTGTTCCCCTGGTTTGACTGATGGCATAGGGCTGTCATTTATTTGACCTGGGGAACCTCTGTTCTTGGTAAAGTGTGAATGTTCATCATGCCATGCAGTGACATAACAAAGGGACTGCTAAAGTATGCCATTAAAGTCACATTTCTGTTCCTTCTCCACCAATACCAGGGGATTTGTAGAAGGTTCTTGGTAGCTCCTGTATGGTGAGATAACAACAATTTCTTTCTCTTCCTGTTCCTGGTGATTAGGAAAATAGATGCCTCATCTCTGGAAAAAAAACATAATGGATATTCTAGGTCTGCCAAGTGTCATTGTGCTGCTGGAGATGGATCAGAAAAGGACCAAAATGCTGATCCACTCCTTACTTACTCCTTATATACTCTATAGCATTTTCTGAAGACTCTGGACTCTTGGCTCCAGTTCCAACAGAAAATCATTGCCTTCTTCCAGCTAAAGTGACTGGGAAATTTCTGTTGATTTTTTGTGCTGTTTTTCCTCTTCCAAAAGGATGTGTTGTGCTGTTAGATGTTGCTGAAAGGCTTTTGTGTTCTGCCCCAAAGAGGACTGCACTTTGGTTTTGAGGAGCAGCCTGCTTCCTGCTCCCTCACACCCCTGAGAGTGGTTCAGCTCTGGGATTTCTGTGGATCCACTGGTGACAGCACCGAGTGGGAGGCTTTTCCTTGGCTACCCAGGTCCTCGTACGCTCAAGGATTTGAAGTGAACACCTGTGTCTTGTGCTCCACTTGGAAGCTTAATGACAACCCAAATTAATCCTTGCCCAGCAGGCTCCTAATACAGAACTTCACAGCTGCATCTTGCACAAGCTTGTTTCTGTCTAGATGGACACAAAATGCAGCCCCATAGAGTGGAACATGCAGTAAATCTCATTTCTGGGACAGGAAAAGCTGTGTTAAAAGATTTCTTGTATTAAACCTCTCTTCCTTCTCTCAGACAGGGACAAGATAGAAAAATTGAAGGTAAGAGGGACAAAATTCTTTCTGGGGATTTTTTACAAATGTTTTTATTGACTGAAATGCCCCAGCAGATGGCACAGGCAATGTTTCACACAGAACATCACCAGTACCAGGGCCCTTTCTTGTATACCCTCTCCGTATACAAGTTGTAGCATGACCTGTTTCCTCTGAGTTTGTGTCTGTGAGTCAAGTGAATGTGAATTGAATCACTCTGGGTTAGCAGAAGTCAAAATAGAAGCTAAATCATAAAGTGAGCTATAAAAAAACAAATTTAGAGCACGAAAGGAACCAGCAGTGTGGCTGAGAAGTGGAAGATCAGTGGGATTTTAAGTCAGAGGCTGAGAGTAGGGGTGAGGGTAGGAAGGATGTCTCTGTGCATAATCAAATGAATAACTACATCAAAACCACACTATGAGCTGGAGGAGAGCCAACAGACTAAATTGATATTTTCCTTTTAAAAAGCAGGTGATTTTTTTTCCCCTTAGACAAACAATTAAATAGATCTCATCTATCTGTACTTCAGCAAACAGTTGTTGTAATACTGTACTGAAAGTCACTGCTAAAGTGAAAAAGGGTAGAGATTAATAAACATTGCAAAGTGAGTCAGGAACTGGCCAGCAGAGAGATAATGGTGAAGTTTCTAGGAAAGGGAATAACAAGCTAGAAGGCAGACAGTGGTGAACCTCCTCAGGGTCCAGTTTTAGGTCTTGTCTTCTTTGAATTTCCACTATGTAGACTGGGATCAGAATGTCTTCGAAGGAGGAGCTGGTTGGCCTCAAAAACCTGGGATTTTTTTTCTACTGACTTGGGACTATTAATTTCAAAGGCCTATTGCAGTATGTTTGGATCAATATCAGGACTTTGTGCTATAAACTCACACTCTGGAAACTGATGGTGTCTTAGCAGATGTTTGTAGGACAGTGCTGAGCAGATGGGGAAAAGGCAAAGGTCATTACTGGACAAGGTAAAGTAGGTCTTGTAGAGACAGGGAAGAATTCATGAGAGTGGACAGGGCTTTGGTTGCAGCTTATCTAGAAACGTGTGCTCAGAACTCCTTAGCTCAGGAAAGATGAATTCAGCCCCAAGGAGCTATTAGTGTATTCAGGAGCCAGAGAGACTCTTCAAATAAGAGGCTAAAAAACTGCAGAGCACAGGTGGAAAGGGGACATGCTATTGCTTTCTGCAAATAGACCAGGGAAGGAGATAGGGGAAGCTGCAGGACAAAGACTATTGTAAGAAATAGGTATCAAGTGTTTAAAAGGTATATTCAAGGCATTAGGAATGTCAGAGATATGAAGTACTGGAAGAAGCAGTGAAGTAGTAGTAATGGAGACAAATAGTGATCGATAGTCATGAGTCCCCTCATAGCAGAGGTTCATGCTCTATGACCCTCCAGTGTCATAGCATTTAAATAAAAAATCATGAGCTGTAGCATTCAGTAAGTGCTGCTGCAGCTAAATAGGATTGCATGAGGTAAGAATATGTAGGCAGCTTTACTACTGATAGGAATTTTGGCAGTGAAGTGAAGCAGGATCTGCTTATCGGTTCATACCACGTAAATTCAGAACGTCAGTCTTGCTGCATGCATTAGGGGTGACACGGGCAATTCTGAAAGAAACTGAGAAATCTGGTTAGAATAACAGTATAAACACCACTTCTCTTCCAGAAAGTCTCATACTTTAAAGCAAGGCTTAATGATAATTTAAACAAAGTTCCTACAGCATCCTTGTGAGTACCGTGGGGTCTTATTTACCAAGTAAAGAAACAAAGACAAAAAAGGACTTAACCCATCTGCTCTGAAGTATTCAAAGTAAAACCCTTGTTGTAATATTTAATACCCTTTATAGTCATGAATTGTCATTTTGGTTCCATCAGCATTTAACAAAGGATCATGGTCTACTATTAATAAATAATCAGGCAGGAAAGCACAGTGATAACATTTTGTACCCTGCGGATGTGTCTCTTGTGTCTTTTTATGAATATGGGGTAACCATCTATGTTGGGGGGGGGGTCTTGACTGTCTGGAGATGAATGATGGTGATGATAGGGTTGAGTGCTTAGGGGTAAGAATCGGAGGGAAGGCCAACAAACCTTGATATCATGGTAGGAGTCTGTTGTAGACCACCCAACCAGGATGAAGAGGTAGATGAAATTTTCTACAAGCAGCTGGAAAAGTCTTGCAGTCGCTAGCCCTTGTTCTCATGGGGGCACTTCAGCTTACCAGATATCTGCTTAAAATGCAATACAGCAGAGAAGAAACAGTCCAAGATGTTCCTGAGCTCTGTGGAAGATATCTTCCTCATACAGCTGGTGAGTGAG